GCCTCTTCAACGATAGGAGTGGACTCTTGAGGGATGACAGGCGAGTCGGGCTTCTTCTTGCGGTGTCTTCGCACTATTGGGGTATACAGAGACTTAATAGCACGTGCACGCCGTCTAATGCGTGAATTATGTCGTGCAAGAAAAACCCGACGTAAAACATCCACCTTATCGGTCCGCTAAATAATTAAATACAAATATCAGTAAATAAAAATACATGATATTTAAACAGTGAAAACAAAGACAAATATATTTCAAACTTTCAACCAAAAGACAAAACAAAAACAAATACTAACTTCACAGTGTTAAAGAATACACAGTTTAGCAGAATTGGCAGCAACCGAATAAATTTACTTCAACCAAAAGACAAAATAAAAAGACAAATATTAACTTCACAGTGTTAATAAACAGTTTAACAGTATTGGCAGCAACCGAATAAATTTACTAAGCAATCTAAGTGAAATGGTTAATTTAAGTGAAATTACGAGTAAATTTATCATCAAGTTAAATATGGAAAATCTTAAACTTACCTCGTTGCGTAGAGTATGAACCTCATTCTGCAACGATACTATCATCTCAAGTAGAGCGGCAACCTCACCACGTAAAGTAGACACCTCCACACGCCATGCATCATCGTTATCGCGTAGAGTACCGATCTCCTCACGCAAGGCATTGACCTCATCACGTAACTCCCTTGACTCATCCCGTGGAGGTGGAGAACAGGGAGATAGAAGTCGTGGCATCTTTGCCGGTCGCCTATCATGAGGTGATGGTGGAGAAGAGACTCGATGATGTGACGGGATAGGTGATGACTCTCGTTGTAGAGGTGTATAGTCGGGTCGATCAGGTGATGGCTCTGGGTGAGGTGATGGCTCTCGAAGTGGAGGCTGCTCATCATTCGTGCCATCAAGAAAACGTTGACTAGCTTGCCACCAATCAGTGGCAAGCTCAGCCTCCGTGGGTGTCAGTCTCATTAATGGAATGTTAGCCTCCTAAAAATATAACAACTCAAACAAAGTTAAACGTCTACTATTAATAACTTGTTTATATATGATAGTATTTGTGTTAACTTACATTATTTATTGTCGCATATGGTATTAAGTCTTCTCAATCCAACAGACGTTTCCTCTTCCAGGAAATAGCCCTGGGAATATCATTTGAAGTTTTTATTGCATATGTCTTCATGGCGGGAAAGGCTTCGAATATCCAAATCTACAAATAATATAATAACAAACATTAGTAATTGTTAAATAATTAATTATAATTTTGAAAATATTATATAGAAATTCTTACCTTAAAGGCCCAAACAAAGCCTGACAAAGTGTATTTCGACCCATCGCCCCGCAAACTTTTGCGGTCATCAAAAGCAGACGACAACTTAGTCCAGGTAGCTTTCCATATATACGAACCCAACGAAAATAGATTCCATGCATTTAGGTCTTCTACCAATAATATTAGCTCCTGAAGAATAGGTTGTCTGGCCTCTCTACCTAAACAGCCAGCATACAAAAGTAGTAGAAGGCATACTCGGACAACATCGACGTCATTCATCTGAGTAAAACCATCTTTCTTATTAAACAATTTCTTCATGTCGTCGACGTGTAAGTTCGGCTTCTCTATTGACTCATCAGGAAAAACCATGGATAACCATGATGGGCGGGTGATATGACGAGTGTACCGGCCTACATCATCGTGTCCGAATCGTAGACCAGTGATTAAGCAGAACTCCTTCCGCCCAAAACAAGTATACACCGGTGGAAAATAAAACCATATCTCTTCCTCACCATGTTGTATATTGTCGGGTAGATCGCTAGTAATGGTCTGAAGCCACAAATGGGTCAAATTAGCATCTCCACCCGGATGCTGTACTCTCAGCCATGGCCCGAAGCAGGTTTCCTCAAACAATTTTCTTTGTGCAGGTGAAAGCTTCGAAGCAATTGTAGTGGCTAGGCTAACTTTATTCCTTAATGTCAATGAAGCCGAAAAAAATTTCTACAAAAACAATAAACATACCAAGTTAGATATACCAAAAACTACACTGTCAAGATATACAAAAAAACAATAAGCATAAATAGTAATTTATTCTTGAAACTAAAATTTACAACACTGTTTTGTCTTTTGGTTGAAATGAAAATCGCAACGAGATAATGAAAATCGCAACGAGAGAATCGCAACGCGAAATGAAAATCGCAATGCGATTTTGGTTTCGCGTTGCGATTTTTATTTCGCGTTGCGATAGTTATTTCCGCATTGCGATTTTCATTTTTGAAACTATTATTCTTCTGTATTACTTCAACCAAAAGACAAAATAAAGACAAATACTAACTTCACAGGCTAAACAGTTTAGCAGTATTGGCAGCAATCGAATGAATTTAATAAGAAATCTAAGTGAAATGGTTAATCTATTATTGAAATTATCAGTAAACTTATCATCAATCTCAATATGAAAAACCTAAAATAATGCAAAAATTTCAAAATAAAAATAAAAAAAACTAACCCTCGGAAGTTGATTTTCCATTTCTGAATGATTGTGAGAGATTTTTGACTGTGAATGGTTGTGAGGGATTTCGCCGGCGATGGGGACGGAAATCTTCGGAGATGGGGACGGATTTCGCCGTAGAGAGTGAGAGATGGAGATGTGACTGAGTGTTGTGATTTTGAGTTTGAGGTTATGAGTTGCGATTACTGTGGACGGTTCAGTTTCTGATTTATTAAGAAAAATCGTGTTTAGAATTTGAAAAAAAAAATACGCGTTAATACGAATGACGCTATGTAAATCGCATTGCGATAGTAAGATTCGCATTGCGATTTTCCTAATTCGCTTTGCGATTTACTAATTCGCGTTGCGATTTACGTATTCGCATTGCGAATTATGAAAATCGCAACGCGAATACGTAAATCGCAATGCGAATTAGGAAAATCGCATTGCGATAGTCAGTATCGCATTGCGATTTTCCAAATTCGCATTGCGATTTACTTATTCGCATTGCGAATTGGGAAAATCGCAACGCGAAATTGGAAAATCGCATTACGAATCTGGAAACTGATTTGCGATAATGGAGATCGCGTTGCGAATTAACGATCGCATTGCGATTTTGTTGGTCATTTTGTCAAATCCGGAAAAAGTTGGTTAAAATCGTATATTATATGAGTTTTTTGGTCACTAAGGTTATTTTCTCAAATTAGAATCTGATAAAAAGTAAAAAAAAAAAACTTTAAAAATAAAAGAGAATTAAAAGAAAAGAAAATATTATTTATATTTGATCTTATGATTAGAATTAATTTAGGCATGTCGCTATACAATTTTCTTAAAACATATTTTTAGTTACTCATTGGTGCTCGAGATTTTTTGATCGTTCATCTCCCAAGATACAACAACTTAATGATCAATTATAGTAGTAGCACAACAATAGAGATCACGAACTTTCCTTGCATTCGACTATCATTGGAAAGATTAAGGGAAAATAATATTTTCTAATTCTGTGATGTAATAAACCTTAGAATTTTGTTCAGTATTATAGGGGAATTTCGAGAGGTTTACTCTAATTAATTTTTTTTAATATCTAAATTTAAACAGATAATATCTTTTAAATTTAAAATATTAAATCTAATAGTTTTACTCCAACTAAACATCTTTTAATATTTAAATTTAAACAAATAATAATATCTTTTAAATTTAAAATATTAGAACTGAAAATTTTTCTCCAATTAAACATCTTTCAATATCTAAATTTAAACAAATAATAATATCTTTTAAATTTAATATATTAAATAGATATACATTCTTTTTATTATTCAAATTAAATAAATATTAATTTAATTTAAAATTATATAATTATCTTTAATATTTAAAGTTAAAAATATAATAAATTCATTTTTACATTAACATATTCAGAAGTACTCTAAATTTAATATAAATATTAAACTCATCAAATAATCTTTCAGCAACAATAATGGAAGGCGTAGTTGTAAAGCTCCCTTATTTCCCATTTCTAAGCCCTACTATTTCACTTTCTTCTTCCTCCTCGAATTGCCGTTTAGGTTTCCGCCGCTTTTCCGCTTCGCTCTCATTCGGCCACTCAACACGACCGGACTTCCCCATACTCCACCAGGTCCTTCAATTTCTTCGAATGGTTTTCTTTTTTGGTTAATTTCTGCTGATTAAGTTTTTCTTAAATTTGACAGGAAGTAAATGGGTCGAAACTTGTTTGCTTAGACAATGCAGCAAACTCTCAGAAATCAAAGCTCAGCAGAATTATTACGAAGCTTACAATTCAAAAGTTCACAGGGGAATCCATTATTTGAGGTACTCCCTTTTCCTCTCCTCTGTTATGAATTCTTTTTCAGAAGCTAATCTAGGGATCAAGTGAAAAGGATAGGGCACTTTTGAGTTTATTCTAGGAGTTTAGTTAACTGTTTTCCTTACGGCGTTTGTTAATATTCTGTGTATAGCACTAACATAGTAACATTGTACTAACTGCAGTAGCTTATAATTTACTTTATTGTTTTCAAATGCATCTTTAGAAAGTACCCCATGACACTCTTTTTCAAAATCATACCATAGAAACTAAATATTTTTTCTCAATGTTCGAATCATAGATGAATTCGTTAATTATTTTATTTAATACCATAATTTTTTTTACTTCAAATACAACAGTTTTGTCAGAACCTTGTTGCATCTTAGTTATATGTCCTCTTGTAAGACTAGTTGATTGTTTTCTTGCAATTTTATAGGACGCAAAGAGCTGAACATATGTACCTTTTTCCTTTGTTTTACTTTGATTATAAATACATTGCCAAGGTAACTGATGAGTACGAGTTGGCGCGGACGTAAGTGGCAGCTTTTATTAATGCATCAGAGTCCACCGAGATTGTATTCACAAGAAATGCTACTGATGCTATTAGCTTAGTGGCTAATTCTTGGGGTTTGTACAATCTAAGGCATGGGGATGAGGTTGTGTTAATTGATCAATCTTTTGAAACATATAGTCGATCATTTTTTTTTCATGTAGGGTAGTCGTTGGTGTTCATTGAATCATGATGTTCGGTAATTTATGTTTGCATATTATACTTACTATTGCTGAATATCACAGTGCTATTGTTCCTTGGCAAATTGTGGCACAAAAAACTGATGCTGTTTTGAAATTCGTAAGTTTAGATGAGAACGAGGTTCCAGATGTAGAGGAGCTGAGGGGGATGATTTCTGAAAGAACAGAACTTGTAGTTGTTCATCATGTGTCTAAAGTTATTGATGTATGATATCCTTTTCATCGTTATCAACGGTTTTCTAAACATGGGATTATAATTAGCATGATTATATTTATTGGACCAAAATTTGATTTTCTTGCAGGCTCAGTTCTTCCTATTGAAGACATTGTGATCTGGGCTCATGCAGTTGGAGCAAAAGTGCTTGTAGATGCTTGTCAAAGTGTTCCACATATGGTGGTTGATGTCCAAGGTCTTGATGCTGATTTTCTTGTTTCTTCTTCTCACAAGGTTTGTCCGTTGCCTTACACATGATATAAGACACAGGTATACATAGTTAAGGATTAAACATGCTTCAGATGTGCGGGCCTACAGGTATGGATTCCTATTTGGTAAGAATCATCTCTTGTTAGGCATGCCTCCATTCTTAGGTAAGTTCTTATCGGTTACAGTTCTGTGTATCTAAAGCTATGGGAATAGAGTCAGGAAGTAGTATTTATAGGGGAATAGAGTTAGGAAAGCTTTGTGCTTGTTAAATAAAGCCAGGGGTTTAGGCTTCAGGGACTTAGCTAAGTTAAATGTTGCTCTATTGGGGAAGCAAGGTTGGAGACTTCTTTCAAATCCGGTCTAGCTAGTTAGTAGATTCCTCCTAGCGAAGTACTTCCTACAATGTGATTTCCTCAGCCCTCGGCTTGGCAGTCAACATTATTATATCTGACGAATCATCTGGAGCGCTTGTGGTTTATTAGAAGCTGATTTACGATGAAAGGTGGGAACAGGTTCTTCCATCTCTATTTGGAATGATTATTGGCTCCCTGGAAGAAGACGGATCTGGGTAACCTCACCACGAGTGGATGCTTTGATTAGCGTCTCCCATCTCATTGATGGTAGTTCTCGAAGTTGGAAGGAAGAAATTATCTTTTCGAATTTTGTTCAAGAAGAGGCAGAACAGATTTTGAGGATTTCTCTATCGTACTTCTCTCAAGAAGATGTCAGAGTTTAGTGTAGGGAGAAAACGGGACAATATAGCGTTCGTAGTGGGTATCGCTTGTTGCTTCATGAAGAGAGTAATGGACAGCTGAATAATGCAATTTTCAGCAAGATATGGGCAGGGGCTTGTCAACGTAAAATAAAAATCCAAGTTTAGTGGTTTGCCTTAAATTATGTTCCTACGAAGCAGAATTTGTTCATTAAAAAACTAGTGAGTGACCCGTTTTGCCCTATCTGACCTAATGTGGTTGAGTCAGCAGCCCATGCAATTCGAGATTGCTGTTTGGCAACTTAAGTCTAGAAGGGTTTAAATTTGGAGTGGTCTGTGCAAATGAATTCTGTTGAGTTTTACGAATGGCTCGAGTGGTTACTTATGCATGTTCCTTCTAGCGATCATTCTTTAATATTTGTTACAATCTGGGCCCTATGGTATTATCGTAATTTGCAGTACCATGAAGGAAAGAGGACAAGAGCAGTTAAAGCCATTACCTTCATTCGGGCTCACTGTATTGAAGATTTTGCTGTAATGTCTGCTCAATCCACCGTCTGTGCGTTGGCATCCTTCATCAGGGAACATGGTGAAGGTCAATTTTGATGCAAGTTTCTTACAGACACATCAAACAGCTCGTTCAGGGGTCATAATAAGAAACAATAGAGGGGAAATTATGGGTGCATGTAGCAGATTCCAAAAGAGAGTCACCTCACCATTTGGTGCAGAAGCTACTGCGGCAGTCCATGCGTTTTCTTTTGCAGTGGATTTGGGCTTTCATGAGATCATTGTTGAAGGGGACTCCAGATCGATAATCTCAAAGCTTGCTTCTCCGGGCATCGATCTCTCGGAGATGAGTGCCCTTATTTGGGAGGCACAGAAACGAGCTGCTGCTTTGGTTGCATGTCGTTTCAACTTTATTCCTCGGACGGGAAATAGGGCGGCTCACCTCTTGGCAGTCGGGGACGGTCGGGATCTTATGGACACCTTCTGGATTGAGGAAGCGCCTCGCCATGTAGAGGAACAAGCTGATGAAGACCGGAGGTGTCTGAATCCTCCTTAGATCTGGTGATTCTGTGAGTTGGATGTGCTACAGAAGGTTCAATCTATTTCTTTTCCGCTTCTCTGGCCGTTCTCCATCAACGAATCTTCATTTCTTGCTCAGAGAAGTCGAAAGGCCTGCGTTTTGTTTTTTGTTTTCAGTTTAGTTTCTCCGGTTTGGCTTCTTCTTTTCTTTATGGAGGTTTTTTTAAGTGCTTTTAGCTTAGCTGGTTCCCACTTGTTTTTGCTTTAAAGGCACGTGTTTGGTTTGCTGTTTTTTACACCCACTTTTCAATGGGTTAATGCAATGGCTTCCATGTATTTATTTTTCTCTCTAAATGAATACCTTGATAAAATAAATAATTTTTGAGATTTTTCTGTCGAAGAAGGTGAAAAAAATATTCTTTTTATAAAAAATAGGTGTTAAATTTAGAATTAACTCAGCGATCGAAAGAAGATATTTTGAAAACAAAAGGGACTAAATCGTTAGTTTTTAAAAAAGTGTGACTAAAATAAGATAAACTGAAAATAAAATGTACATATGTGTAGTCTACTCCATAATAAATGAATGGAGTTCTGTTTCATATTTTGACCGAGTCGACACCAAAAGAAAAGAGAGAGAGACAGCACGCGAAGGCGCTTCCACCCCGAGAGAGGATAAGGGGAACTGCCGGAATCTCAATTGAAAATCAACTAATCTCATAGCCTCTTTCAGGTATTCCTTGAATATGGTTATAGTCGTTCAATTATACTTGAATTTTATTTATTTTGAAAATCAATCTTTTCTTTGCCAACCTCGAGATCTTTGATAAATTATGCAGAACGAACTTCATTTATCGTTTTCGTTTCCTTGTTGACAGTATTTTGGTCGGTGATACATATCTTTCTCCTCTAGAATGCTTCCTGTTTATCCAGTACAGTTTCCGTGTTCTCACGGAACCCTTCTTTTATGGTCTCTGAGCTAAGATGTAATCTGACTTGTATATTGTCTGATCATATTAGATTCAACTTTAAATTTTTGAAGAAGGGGATAAACCTCAAAATTAGAAATGAATTTTTATCCAATCTCAATTCTCAAGGTTATACGTGAACTTTGATTTCTTGCAATTATACAAAATGGTGTCACGTTGGTAATTGTGTTAGTAGTTTTTGAAAACTGAAGTAAAAACCAGGTTCATAGATCACGCTGCAAGACCTTTTGGGTTCTTATTTATGTATGTCAGAGATCAGTCTTCTGTTTTAGGAAGGACTCCCGTACCGAGGAATGAACATTTCAGCTGTTTTTATTGGTGACTATTTTGTATATGCATGACTAATCATGTTTCCTTAGTGGATTTCGGGTGATGGGATTTGTGATAACTAGTGTTTACCTGCTTGATTGGCAGCTGGTACGTTGTTTGTTGAAACCTATGTGTGTCCATATTCTTACATTTTTGCCAAGATCAACACGATAGTTAAATCTATGTTGCTCCCACTATTTATTTTTCTTGAGTACTTGTGTCTGACACATTGGATCAAAATTCATTTGTAATTTTAGTATTTTCTGGAGTAGATGAAAGAAAGAAGGAACTAATTAACAAAAAGACTATTTGTGGACCATTTATCTAATTTTGATTAGGGTTATTTTGCATTTAAAATCTGGAACGGAGTGTCCTGGCAAAATGGCCTAGTAGAACTGATTCACATCTGCACAGCATCGAACGGAGAACAAGAAAGTGTTTATGTACAACTTTGGTTATGTGGTGACATGTATTAACTAGTGAGAGTAATGAAACAGTACCAATGTACACTGATGAGTGATGAAAAAACTGCTCTTTAATTGTTTCTTCTATTACTATTTTCTTTATCAATTATATAAAAACTGGTTACAGGACAGGCATAGACATGGGAATCAGTAAAACAGAAGTGAATTTTCGAAGGTTACTTGCAGCTGCACCCCAACAAAAAAATCATTCTAAACTCGTACATGTATGTCTTCTCATGTTTCAACTCTAATTATTAGTTATGTTATCTGGTAGCAAATTTGCTTCCATGTCTATAATAGACAGCTGATTGGTTTTCTTTACTATATATTTTTTTGTTTAATCTTGTTTCCATTCTATTGATTCTTTCTTTCCTTTTTAATTTGAAATTGTTGTAAAGATTTTTTTTTTCTTTCATTGGCAGTATATTGCTACTTTACGTGAACTTTTGGAACAGCTAGCCGAAGAGAGAACACCAGAAGGTTTACCTAGGTTGATTTTTTCTTCTCTTGTTATATTTCAATTTGATTGAGATGCTACTTGATTTTCACTTTTAATTTTTTTACGGAGCACAATAATATAAGAAAAAAAAGATCATGTTGCTTTCTGATAAATGATTCTTCTTTACTTCTCTTACTCAACAGATTTAACTGTTTTGTTTCTGTGACAGCTTATTAACTTTTCAATTTCAATTTGGTTTTCTTCCCCAGACTTTCAACTGCTGTGGTCAATGATTATTCAAAAAAGATTGAGGATATTGCTTCGGAATTAACTGCCACACCGGTGTGTTCTTATGCTCTTTAAGGATTATCTCATAATGACTAAAGAATTACCAGAATTTGTAAAATAGAAATCCAAAAATGCTAATGCAGGAAGTATAAACATATGAAAAATGATTTTCTTTTTTATAGCTACATCTGTGTGTATGCATTTTGCACATGTGCATGTGTGCTTGTCCGTGTGTGTCCACTGACTTGTGAATTGTGATTCTTATTCATAGATTATATCATTGTTAACTTCTTTTGTATGGCTATTTCTAGCCAAACATTAAGTTATCCGAGGAGCGCGTCGCAAGTAACTCGTTTAAGCAGAGTCCAAATTCGGATTCAGAGAGCCACATGCCTTCCTCTCCAGGATTAAGAAGGAGAGTTGTGTGAGTGAATCTTAAGTACTAAGGGTGACTGTAGTTCATATTAACTCTTGAATAATGCATTTATTATTATTATTATTATTATTTCATAAAGCTTGTTTTGATTGCTTTGAGCCACTGAACAGAACTACCTCCAGTGTCAAAGAACGAACTCATGTCACCGCTGAGGTTGATACATCCACACCTATCAAACTGGATGCAGCAGCAGAAGCGCACATACAGAAGCATAGGTATCATTTGATCTGCTATTGCCTATTGATACTGTTGAGTCCAAACTACGCAGTTAAGATTTGTTTAAGTATAAATTGTGATATCTTTCTGCTAGGAGGAACTGCAAATAAGATGATATCAGTAAATGGTTCGTCCGTCAATTGTACTTGTTATGTCAAAGCTATGTTAGAGTCAGCCTGAATGATAATGCTTAAGGATATCCCCATGTCTTTCTGTGTTTATGTTGCCATTATGTCTGTTAATATATATTCTCCTCAATAACAGAAAGCTTCAAGAGGATTTAACTGATGAAATGGTTGAATTGGCTCAGCAGCTTAAAGAGCGTAGTCTCATGATGAGCCAGTCCTTGGAGAACACTGAAAAGGTAAGATCAATTATGTACTTATAATATTTACATGATTTCTTATTGATTACCTACTCTTTATAAGCCGCGACATTTATCATTTTATATATTTTGGAGAATAGGAGCTTGAGTTGAATATCTCCTGTGAACCTGTTAGGACTGTCCTCTTTACTGGGTGCAAGTCTATATTAGGTCACATTATATCAACGGAATTACCTTAATTCAGCTTTATAACAAAATAGGTATTTCTAAGAAATGACTACCACAGTGATTTTGACTCTACGTTTTAAAGGTGTAAAAGGATGCTGTCATAGCATGTCAATTGTTTGTATATTTCTCCCTGTGTTTCCTCTCCTCATTTGGTATAGCATGACATTATTGAAGTGATGTTTTCACATTTAATTCTCCCATTGGGTCTCAGTATCCTAAAGCTTCTATACACTATTTGATTAAGTCTCGAGTGCAAAAGCTAAGTCTGCCTAGTTTATGCAACTCTTTTATTCATTTTGTTCAACAAATGGAGGTTATGCGGTTTCATGTTTTTCTGATTCACATCCAGGCATATACACATATTTTATGAGTTTGCGCGAGAGATAATTATCTTGCTGTTCATGTTGCGTCTTACAGCTGTTTGTTGCTGGTCTTGTGCACTTATTATGGTGTTCTGCAGATACTTGATTCCACAGAGACGGCTATCGAGCAGAGTCTTGCTACCACCGGACATACTAATGTCCGTGCAATGAAGATATATTCAGAAACCTCTAAGACTAGTTGTTTCCAGTGGCTTCTGATTCTAGCCATGATCTGTGTTTTCATCATGGTTGTGCTTCTGATTCGCGTAACATAAACTAGTTCTCGAGAACGACCCGGGAAAGACCAACGAGGTAAATGATGCATGCAATCTCCTTTTCATCTTCTACCAATGTGTTGCAGTGAAGGAAGTTTTGTATGTAGTTCGTTGCTGATGGCAGTTGAGCATTTAATTTTACATATTAAATAGTATATAAAATTTCATTTATATTATATGAAAATCGTTAACTTAATGTGTATCGTCGATGAAAGTTTTCCTTTGGGAGTGAGTTTTACGTAAATATAAATTGATTTCGGTTTTTAACTAGGAATGATTTTTTGTGGAGATGGTACTGAAAATGCCTATCGATTAAAAAAATCATTTGACATTTGAAAGATTATTGATAAAAGTCATTTATTGATCTATAATATATTTTACCTTAAAGGAAAACAACAAGTTTAGACAAAAATTGGTTTTATTTCTTTAAACGTGAGCAGATTCTTTTTATTTAATTAAAAACAACAACGATTACCACTGATAAATAGTTTAATATTGTTTAAATAGGTTTCGAGTTCAAGTCCGTAAAAAAATTATCGTTAAGAGATTCTCCTATCAAAATTAAGTAGGAATACGACATTTCTGCCCAAATCGAACTCAAAATCCCATTTTTTTAAAGCCCAATTACATTGATGGAAAACTAGTAAGGTTCCAACTAGAATATTTCATCTAGTTTATAGGAAAGCTCATCACCTTTCTTGTCCTAGCAATTTCTTTGATCCCAAACTTGCTTAAATTCCTTTGCGCAGCAACTACCTTGTCAGGATCTCCTGTTACCTGGGTTTAACACATGATATGGAACTTATGATTTAACACTTCAAGAATATAATTCAATCCTTATCTTACCTTTTCCAAAAATGGGAAAAAAATCTCTATCCTGTAATTAGCTTTGAGGAATACTCACTAGGTGTATACAAGGAAATGCTCTATCCTGCAAGTAGCTTTGAGGAATCTTTATCTTACCATTTGGACATTGAATTCTCGTATCCCAATATTTTCGGTATTCAAATCATATACCTTAAAAAATAACAACAATTCTTTTATCATTGAGGTTCACGTTTAATTCGTGCATCTTATTCGGATGAAATTATGGAGCGTATAGGAGCAAGTAACCTTGGTCGTCCAAATGTTCGTATGCAGTTGAGGAACTCCAACAACCAAGCAACAGTATAGGGAAGATATGGTGAGCGTTTGTTTAAGCGCCATTTTCTTTTTTTAGAAAAGATGGTTCGACTATGATAAAGGTGGTGAGTATATGATAAAAAAAATTAAAATTTTTTAGAATAAATTAAATATAAAATCATTATTTAAGAATCTAATATTTTAACAATAACTTAAGAATAAAGCTAAATATTAATATTTTTATTAACATTGTCACTTTATCAATTTAACGGTAGAATTTAACTATTTCCGAACACAGTCTTATTTATTCTGCTTTCTCCAGTCTCCTACTCCTTCAATCCCTCCACCACTTTTACAATTTTCAAAGGTCTTTCGAAACCCTAAAACGATAAATTTGCTCACCAAAGAAGTACAAATGGCGTGGAGAAGCCAATTATCTCGCAATCTCAAAGAACTACGGATTTTGTTTTGCCAAAGATCTCCTTCCAGTGCCCCCGCCAGGTTTATTTTCGATCCTCTTTCCTCGATCTGAACTTTTAAATTTTATATAATTAATTTCTTTTTTTTTCTATGTTGTATTAGATCATTCGTGGAGAATAATTACAAGGATCTCAAGACTTTAAACCCTAAACTTCCAATCCTCATCCGCGAATGCAGTGGGGTTGAGCCCCAAATGTGGGCTAGATATGGTAATTCCCTCTCACCCTGAAATTTGCTTATTTTTTATTTTGGTTTAAAGATCACTGTTGAAAAATAGCTAGCGGTCTTTAACTTCCAAGTATTAGTTCAAAATGGTGAACCTACTTAGATTTGCAATTTGGTATAATAAAACAATCAGTTGTTCACCCTAGCTGCATTTCTGGTGCTGTTAATTGGTTCTATCGTGTATCTACAATCTAATGATGGTCAAATTATTCTAAGCATCAGTAACTTAAGATGCTAATACATATTTTCGTTGTGTCAAAGGTAGTTTCCATTCCAAATTTTGCTATAAATAAACCGAAAAATGAGATTCTCGAGGAATCTTGGATATGTAACTAAGACATCAGAGAAAATTTTAAGGGAGCGATTCCTAATGTAATAGCTCTTTGTATGGATAAACGTTGTGCCTCTCTGCTGTTGTTAAAACACAATAAACTCTTTGCTGTGAATTTGGCTGATGTATGACAAATTCAAGATAAATTTGCCTTAGGGAGTATTAGGTTGTACTTTTCGTAGAATGATTTTGAGTTTAGCTCTGTGTAGACTATAGGTTTGATCACAAACTGGTGGCTGAAAACTGCGTTTGAGATTGTAGGAATTCCTTGTCAGCTGCTAGATCATGTGAGTTTTGGGTCAACTTGGTTGACTGATTCTAGGGAAAGGCAGGTTAAGAAACATGAAGAATTAATGCCTGTGAGTAGCATATTCAAGAGATAAGGTCTAGAAATGAATTAAGAATCTAAGTTTTGGGTAGACTTGGCTGACCAATTCTAGGGAATGATGGGTTAGGAAACATGAATTAAAACGTGTGAATAGTTTATACAAGAGATAAAATTTAGGAGTGAATTAAGAGAAGAAAGGACAGCAATCTTTGATTGATTGCAAGTGCATATTTGGTTGTGAACAGTACATGAAGATAGGGGTAGAAATTCAGGAAAAGCATTAGAGAAGGAAGATCAGTGTTCTTTTGTTAAAAAAAATGTTGAGGGATTTTCCAATCAAGTTCCTCTACGTTTTATCTTGATGTAAATAAATTTCCTAGGTTCAAATAAAGATATGTAGTTCGAGCATTTTTAGAGGTGAGTTCTGTGCAGTGCATCTACATAAGATAGAAACAAAGATTTCATAAACCATATCAATAATAGTAACTCCAGTGATATTGGGAATTTGAATATATATTGTTCATTTTCACTTTCATTGCTGTATCCTACGTTGCAACATTAATGCTATGATTGGTTGGAGTGTTAATTTTTTTATCATGTTTTAGTACACGAGTAGTAATAAAATACCCTTAGTTTTGAGCCACTCAAATGCTTTAATTTTAACAAAGATAAGGAATATATGTTGCTTATTTTGAATAGGTATTAGTTTATACATGGGTTTTTACTCATCTTTCCAACTTCAAGTTTCGAGTTATACTAATTCTGCTTTATAGTCGACAAACTATTTTAAAACTCATTTAATAATTAAGCTTTTTCCTTATGTTATTAATTACATATCAAATGTGACATAAGCGACTTACTGGTTTCACCTTTAGCCTTTGGTGTGTGCTTGACAATTAAAATATTCACGGTGTATGAGATGCTTTCATTGTGCTTGGTAGGCTTTTCTTGTCAACATTTGTGCTCTTTGTGGCATTTGATTTCACTGAGCTTATTTGATTTTTTTTGTAGATATGGGTGTCGAGAGAGGCATTCGCTTGCAAGGTTTGAGCGAGCCTCAGATTTTGAAGGCACTAGAAGACCTTGCTAAAGCAGGGGCATCCACCAAGGCCTAATCATATTGCTGCTCTTAAATCCAAAAGGTCGGAAATAAAACTCAGGTCTTTCCAAAAACTGTTTCCTTTTTATGTTTGTTGGGTTCCTTCCATTTTCAGACATCATAACTGATATTGTAAGATGATTATTGTTGAAGGTTTCAGTATTTGATTACTTGTCTTGCCTTTTAAGGGTGTTACCTTCTTGATTACTGTTATGTTGCCTTTTCTAGTTAGCAAACATGTTAATTATCAACACTTCAATAAATAACCAATATTTAAAAAGAGAGTTCCAAAAATTTTATCTCGATATAACATGATTATAAAACTCATTGGTTGATGAATCTAGAGTCGAACCGTTATCAGCCGAAATTTAGATCATTATTTCCTTTCAGCAGTGCCAACACCGCCTAATCGAAATGCACGAGGGCCGGGTGGTGAAAGTCCACGCTGTATTGTAACCCTGATCATACCTCCCAATAACCAAGCCGAAAATGAGGATAAACAATCCTTGTAAGAGACAAGGGAACACCGGCTCCTTGAATTCCATGTACTCCTATGGCTCTTCATTAATCGTTATGAATCCGACTTCACCGATGACTTTGAGGCATTCGAGGGAAAAAAAGCACACTGTAATTCTCGGCCGACCGAAACACGAACGATTGAGAAAATCGGATACAATTGATTAAGTAACAAAAAACTTCAATAAAAGTCAACTTTAGGACCAGTATTCATGTCCTAAATATTTCCTTCTCTTCCTCATAAAGTTGGTTTTAAAAGTTAAACCACCCTTGAAAATCAACGGCTGAACACCCAGCGAGTCTGTCTACCATTTCTTCACACTCTATGGAAGTATTCATGTGCGAGAATCACATCGCTACGATAGCTTGAGTACGTACAAGTTGCTCAAATAATAAAAGGGTAAATTATTTTTCTAGGTCAGTGAACTAAAACTCTTATTATTCCAATCACATACAGTTATGTTTCAACATATTTGATGACGTGACTCATTTTTAATTGGGATAATAATATATATTCAGTCCTTTTGATTAGTATATTCTATCAATTGATCCTATTTTTAATTATAAATAATTTATGCATTAAAATGATGATACATATTATCATCTTATAAATGAAGGTTAAAGAAAATATGAGATAAATTTAGAAGGATCAAGTTTGGGACCTCATAAAAGATCAACACCTATCCGATGTACCATGATAAGTATTTCTTATGTAATTAATAAAAATATATTTAGGTTAAACTCAAGTTAATATAATATTTTATAGAAGAATATGGATTGATTTTACCTTATATTTTTAATAAAAAAAAATACTTCCCTGACATATGTGTAAATATGTTTCTATAAATATAAATTTCTAAAAGATATTAATTAAACTAAAAATAAATTAATGATTATATATATATATATATATATATAATTATAAAAAATATTAAATTTAGTAAGAAAATGCAAAAACATTATATCAAATACAATTTGACCTATATATATTTTGTCAGATATATCAATTATTTTGATCCCTCTTAATTTAATCTATATTTTTTTACTGAATATATGTTTTCGTCAACCATAGAATCAATATGTAACTTGATGCAACGATTAAATGTTGATCTCTCTTAAAGTCTCAAACTTGATTAGCTTCTTACCAACTTATATTTTCTTTAATTTTCACTAATAAAATGATGATGATATTGTTGTTATCTTATTAGATGATTTGATTTTAATTAAAATTAGAATCATATTGATGATTAAATTTCTTATTACTCCAATTAAAATGATCCAAATCATCAAGTCTCATATACCAGTCCAGACGCCGATTACCATAGAGTTGACCGACGTTGGTTGCGGTTCTGTTTCATGTAAATTAAAATGCATGAGGGTCGGTTCCATCCAGCCAGTCATCATACCAGAAATCGGTTATGATATCGTTTCAGATATTCCAAAATAGTCCAGCTCGAATGTCTCCCCAAACACAGCTTAAACCCTTCCATAACCTAGAGCTTTTTTGGCGATGCATAATATTTTGGGTCTCAAAAATTGAACCTACAATTATCAGTTTGTTCCAACAGATGTATTCCAATTTTCATAAGAAAAGCCTTGTTTTGATTGCTAAGGTCTTTAAATCCCAATCCACCTTTTTCCTTCAACGTATCCCATTTTACTAACATGCGAATTAGTTTCTCCAAAGTGTCACAAACTCCTTTCGGAAGCCAAGTGGATTGCATTGCATAAGATGAAATTGCTTATAAAACGGGCTTACCCAGCCCTGCTAAAAAGAGAGTTTTCGCTTCCCATCCAGATAACCTCTTCTCCACTTTGTTAATGAGGTATCTATAGGTTGGAGAGGAACTCCCAAATACTTCTCTAAGTTTGCAGTAGCTTCAAATCCAAAGCTATTTGCTCTTAGAGAAGAAAATCTGCATCTTAGAATTACTTACACGTTGGCCTGAGCAGCAACAAAAATGGTCTAGGACTTCTCGAATCACCATCACTTGATCCATACAAACTTCCGCAAACAACATTAAGTCATCCGCAAAGAAGAGATGAGAAATACCTAGTCCATTCCGTGATAAGTGAATTTGCTTCCATGCTCCTCTATTCACACAACGTTCTATGGCATGAGAGAGACGTTCCATGAACATGACAAAAATATATGGAGAGAGAGGGTCTCCTTGACGGATACCCCTTGATGGTTTGAAGCTTCCTGAAATAGCATCATTCCAAAGAACCTGGGCGGAGACAGTTCTAACATAAGTTATGATCTAGTCAATTAATTTTGATGGTAAACCCACCTCATCAAGAGACTCTTCAATGAAGTCTCACTCTAACCGCTCATAGGCCTTTTTCAGGTCCACTTTGATCGCCATCCAAGATTTAGCTCCTTTCTTGATATTCATAGAGTGCACCACCTCCTGTGCTAAAATTATGTTATCCTTTATATTACGTCCATGGAAAAGCTAGGCTGATATTGAGTAACCCAATCCGGTAACAACGGCTTTAGACGATTAACCAAGATTTTTGTTATGATTTTTTATGGCACCATGCATAGACTGATAGGTCTAAATTGCGAAATCCTCTCCGCTTCCACCTTTGGTATAAGAACCAAAAAGAGTTTTGTTAGTCCAATCAAGGAGTTCACCTTTGTTGAAGAAGTCAGACACAAACTCGACAATGCTTCCCTCCACAATACTCTAATTTTTCTAAAAGAAACCCTCCTGAAACTCGTCAACTCCGGGAGCTTTCATAGAATCCATCATGAATAAAGTCTGTCGAACTTCTTCTGAATTCACTGACCGAGTAAGAGGGCCTAGACGCCCCATTTGAAGTTAGCTAAAGCCTCCTAACAACTCACTGCTTGAATTTTGTGGATTTTCTGAGGTAAACAAATTATGGAAAAACTTAACCGCTTGATCTTGTAGAAGCAATTGGTCCTCATACCATTCATTATTAACCATTTTCACTATTTGGATATTATTTTTCCTTCTTCTAGTAAGAGTCGAATGGAAGAAACGGTTATTGCGGTTTCCGTTGACTATCCATCGACTTCTAGACTTTTGGTGCCATAATCTCTCTTCCTGATCAACTGTAACATCAAGCTCTTTTTAAGGGTCTCCTCCAAGTCCAATAAGAAAGGTGAATTCCTTCTCTCAAGGGCTATCTCGATTCTTCGAATACGAGCTAAAAGCAGTGACTACCATTTTCCACTGTAACCAAACATCTCTTTGTTCCGAGTCCTGTTTTCCTCATGAAATTTTAAGAGGTTTTTGAAAATAGGTGAATCATTGCTCCAAGAGTTCTTTAGCATTCTCTCAAAGTCTAGATGGTCATTGCAGACATCTACAAAACGAAAGGGTCTTATATTGTTTGTAGCTTGAGAGTCATTAGTCGACAACATAATCGATCTATGGTCAGAATCTATTTTTTGTAGGTGAGAGATAGTGGTCGAGTGAAAAGGTTCAGTCCATCGGTCATTGCACAAGCATCTATCCATCCTCTGATTAAGATCACCACGTTGCCAAGTGAAGCTCGGACTATTGAACCCCATATCAATCAATCCTGAGAAGAACAAGAAATTGCAAAACTTAGAACAGACACCGGATCTTCTATTAGAACCTCCTTGCCTCTCAAGAAAATTACAAATCGCTTTGAAGTCACCACCAAGAACCCAAGGCATATTGTTCTCTAGTTCCAAAGCTCTCAAGTGATCTCAAATGCGATTACGCTTACCACAGTTTGGACTTGCATAGATAAAGGTAATGAATAAGTTTCTCAAGTTTTCTTTGTCTACACAATACCCATAGTTGAATTGATTAGTGGCCACCAAGATATCTAACGAGGTTGAACTCTTCCATAATATCCAAATACCCCCAGAGAAACCATTAGCCTTCACACGGAAGGAAGACTCAAGACTTGATTTCCTGATGAACTTCTCAGCTTGAATTCCACTAACCCGTAGTTTCATAATAGCAACAATATCGGGACGATGTTGCTTCAATAATAACTTGAAATAGCAGTTAAAAACAAGGCCTAGAATGCCTTAAGTATTCCAAAAAATTATTTTAACCATAAATATAAGGGTTAGAAGAATAACCATACACACATTAGGCCGTTTAATCCGTTTCGAATTCATTCTCAAAAGCTGTATTAGCTCGCCTTTAAATTCTCTTAGTGGAAGATTGAGGAATATCAGCAGCACCAATAGATGAATTGGTACCATTCACGTTTAGTTCTTTCACCATAGCTTCGATCCAATCGGTAAGGATTGGTTTAGCTAGCCCTTTAAGATCTTTCATTTTCGTTTTGTGACCCTTTCTCATTAATCCTTTTAATGTTGCCATGCTATGTTCACCTTTTTTTTAGATTGAACCCATCTTCAGTCCCTATGAAGATCTCCTATTACTATCTGTTAGGATTCTTCTTCGGTTTTCTTCCTTAATTTGAATTGTTGTATGTTTTCCACTACTCGCCAGCACATGAAGCTACATTGTTTTGTCTTTTCTTCCTACGATTGTAATTTTCGTATTATCCTCCTTCATGTTATCTTCCATAATTCTAATTTCATGGGTTGAACCAAACTGTTTTGGTTATGTACGTTGCCTAGGAATGCTCGGGTTATGATCCTCTTCAGCATGAGAATCTGATTTTTTGGCCGTATGGTTCATGTGAATCGATCCCTCCCTTTAGTTCCAGAAGGCTGGGAATTAATGGTCATGATACTTTTCTTTTTACTTCACGAATCTCGACCATCATGCAGGTCATCATTTCCTTGTTTTGCTAAAGCCCCAGAATGACTTCCATCACTATAGTGAGGCTAAGTAGCTCCATTATTATCCAGTTTCACTATCTTCTTGCTCGATGTCTGCTTTTTATTCCTCTGAGGCACCTGTATTTATGGCCCATAGGGTTCAATGAGGTTCTCAACTACCTCATTGGCATTGGCATTAGCGAGGACACCATCAATCGTGTTAGTTCCACAAGATTCTTTTGTATGGCCATATTTACCGCAAGTATAACAAATAGTAGGTAAGCCGTCCTACTCAACCTCTGGTACTGTCCGTCAATCATAACTCCCGGAATCAAGGGTTTTCCCATATCAACAACAACGGCTAATCTTGCAAACCTACCATTCTTACCCTCAATCGTATTATAATCTATCTTAACAATTTTACCCAAGGCACTAGCTATAGCCTGAAATAGGCTCTTTGTATAGTAACGATAAGGAAGTTCAGGAAGTCTTACCCAAACTAGTATCGTTTATGAGTGGTCATCGGCTGTAGAAAACTTTATTCACCGTGGTTGCACCCGTTAAGTAACTCTCATACACCATCCAGAGTACGTCAGACACAATGTTCAGGTAATCGTTTTCCAAAGCAAACCGAACCAGGAAATATTCATTGTCCAGACGATGAGTTTCATCTCCCCGTTGGGTCTCCACAGCATTTGGATACGAGATAGGAGTGCATTGTAACTTATCTTCTTCCCTAACAAGTGAACTATCACTGATTTAGATAATTTCTCATCAATTGAGTTATGAACTCTCTCCAAAAAAGTCTGCCTGGGATTGATCCGTCCATGCCAATCTAAACATCACTATCAATTAAATCCACATCCAGATCATTGATAAAATTATCTTTGCTAAGATCACCAATATGTTCGGTTACCATATCCTAAAAGGAAAGTTTTCCAAATCCTGCATTAGCCTTGGTTGGCCCTGTGATTCCTTGTTGTTTCATTACCGGAGAGGAAAGGTTTTCAGTCGCATCATTCATCTCTACTCAGTAACATTTGAAGTCATCTCATTAGGGTTAGGTTGCCATGATAAAGTCAAGACAACATTATTTGTTACGCCTCAAATATCGGTCTGGTAGATTTGTATCGACCCAATAACTGATTTAATAGACTTATTATAACAGGAGGATCCTTGGGTTTGAATTTGAGTTTAATCTGTTAAGAAATTAGCCTGGTAAAAGATAAAAAAATGGATTTTTAAGCTTAGAAAGAATATAGGAGGACCTAGAGTGTAATTTTACCAATAAAGGAAAATATAGTTGATATGGGAAAGATTTTTGATGATTCACATGGGCCTATTTTGAGTAACTTGAATACTCATTTTTCTCTCATTTTCCCAAACTTCTCTTCCTCTCACCTCATTTTTTTCTTCATTTCACTTCAACCAAGCAAGAGTTAGAGTAAAGGCTTCTCCTTTCTCTATCTTCTTAACCTCAATTGAAAATCCAATGTGAGATCTTCGAATTATAAGCTCTAATATGAGCTTCCATCTTCTTCAATGGTGGTCATGAACTCATTTTAGGTTTTGGGAGGTTTTAAGCTCCAAGAGCTTTCTCCCTTGATTTCTTTTTTATTTTCATGAAGTTTAGTTGTTGTTTAACAACTAGTATACTTCATTTTCATGTTAGAATAATTTTGTAGCTTTTGGTTAGTGGAGGAATAGTGAAAGAACCCCCTAAAGGCAATGAGTTGTCAAGGTCAATTTTTGGAGGATTTGGAAAGTTATTTGGGTAGCTAGGAATTGAGGTACACACTATAACTCTTCCTTACCACTTGTATGTCATTTAAATGAGTGTGTTTGCTTGTATGGGGTAGAAGAACATGTGGGGTTTGGGTTCTTGATTTATGGTTATGGACGTTTTGGATGTTATTCTAGCGTAAAAATGATGTATAATGACCCCTTATATCTTTCATAAGCTTTAATAATCAACTTAGACCCTAGAATGATTGTTTAGGATGAGTTTGGGGGTGTTTTTTCCGAGAAAAACAATTTAGTTTTGAGTGATAGTATCAATATTGTATTAACATTATCATATTGTTCGTGTTCGGGGTGAAAATAGGGTTTTCTGGGCTTTGGTATCTATACTAGAGTATTGGTATCGATATCGACCCTTTGATATCGATACTGAGGGTTTTAGTATCGATAATGTATGCTTGGTATCGATATCGGATTCTCGATCTCGAGGCCTCTGAGTCTCCATACGAAAAAACTGGTCTTCATACCGAAAATATGGTCTCCGTACTGGAGGACTGATATCCATACCAAAGATTGAGTATCCATACCAAAGGCTTGATATCAATACCTAAAGTGGTTGAGTGACTTCATGATGTCAAATAAACTTAAGAGTAAGAAATCTAATATTGATTAAGATCGAGTATCTAACCTGAGTGTGGAATATTACTAAAATGCCCTTAGGGCTAAAATTACCAATTTACCCTAATGGGTATCAATGAATGAAATAACCTATACGAGTTATGTATTCATGACGAGAGTATATCCGTCCCCAATTCAAGAGTGGATCGAGGGAAAGCTTGATAAGAATAACTAGAATGTCACCATTAATTAACAAACCTGAGTCGAGCATCAGGATAACATATAACCAAACAAGTGAAAAGTAGTAACACGATTCTAGTTTATCTATGCCACATGTAGTTCTTTTTAGCTCTTTTGATATGCATGATTGGTTAGTTGGGTTCATGAACCATGTACAAGTAATCCATGGTAAATTCTATGTTTGATGTGTGTAAGCATAAAAAGCAACTCATTTTGACCTTTAAGACCTCAAATAAAACTCTATTAACATTGCGAGCCTTAGTGGGGTGATTGGGTGAGTTTAAGATACATGTTCGTGTCTAAAGTAGGGCACTTCAAGTCGTGAGTATTGTTACTGAAAGAATAATATTGATACCGTTCTTTGAATAGGGTAAAAATAAGGGCATTTTGTGAAGGTAGTATCGATACTCTCTCAAGGGAATCGATACTCATGGCCGATTTCGATACTTATGGGGTGGTATCGATACCGGTGGCAAGTTTTAGATTATAGTAGCCATTTTTGGTATCGGTACTTTGGTATCGATACTCAAGATGGGTATCAATACCCAATGGTCAATATCGAGTCTGTTGGCACAATATCATTACCATCGTTGATTTTTGGGCAATTTGATTCGTCTGGTTTAAGGGTTCGAGCTTGGGTGTTTTGAGTTCGTACAAGCTTCAAGTACTCGATACAAGTGATAAACATCAAGTTACCTAAATTCTCACATAGAAATCAAGCAAGTTATGATGACATAAGATTTGCTATACGTGACACCCGAGAAACAGTTCGCACACCCGAGTTACTCTAGGATTATGACAGTCGTCCTCTGTTTGTGAAATATCTGGATTTTGTCTATGTGGTACAAATCCAAAGAACGTACGTAAATTCCTCCAACCACATTGCTAGACCTATCTCATGTTTATTGATATACTTTGTATATCCTAGGTAAACTAAGGGTGTTGTCCCGAGATGCACGTAAATCCCTCTGACCACACTACTAGACTTACTTCGTTATGTTTTGAGTGTATTCATATGCACATGTCTTCGTTTGTTAGCATGATCATTTAACGAATGCATGTAGTATGGTAGATGTATTGTGTGATGCGAAGCTTGCGAGCTCAGTGTTCAGAACGTGTTTTCGTTCGCAGGTTTCAAGTTTCATGGATTGCGATGGGACGACAATATCATTGGATGAGTCTCAGTGAAGTACCAGAATACAATGATGACGGCTTAGTGGTAATGTAGAGGTCATGATTTGAAATGAGTCAGCTTGTAACATTTGGATTATTTATTTTATTTATCGAGTTTTAAATTGGGCCCCCATATTTATAAATTGTTATGGTTTCATACGTTGTATAAATATTTTAAAACGAGAATGGTTTCAAGGTTCAATTTTTAGATTAGCCACTTCGGTGATCCTGTGTGGCATTTGAGTCCATGGGATTTGGGTGTTACATTGCTCCTATGTTTCTTCTCCACCAGTGTCTCTTCATAGAGAACCTCTTGCCCTGGGTGTTCCAGGGGAGGTGACTGAATAGTTTGAATCGAGGCTTCCAACGGTCGTCTGGGAGGGTCAGTTTCAAGGGCTTCATTAGGGTTTGAGATTCTCGGAGGAAGAATTCATTAGGTAATCAACTTTTCAACTAAAATAAAATTAACATTAAGTGATTTAGATACAATTACATTAAAATTTTAGTAATCTAATTAATAAAATTTTTAGTCCAATGATCAAAATAAAATTTTGTCCAATTTAATGACCTAGAAGGTAGTTTAACCCACAAAAAACAATGGCGTGCGCATCTTAAAAAATGAACACGCAACTTCCCTGAAAATAAACCCGGACGTGTTCCAAGTTCAAAAGCGGAATTTTATAATCGGCAATAAGTCCGGTCTCTTTTGTAAATTTTCTGGTAGGAATTGGTTCCTTCTGATCAAAAAAATAAAAGTCGGCTACCTCCACTCTTCGAACCCTATTTCCCCACCTCGTCTTCGAGTCATCACGATTTTTACCTTTATTTTACTCATATTTTTTTTTCATAAGGTCATTTAATATGATTTATCTTTTCTTCGAAGATTGGTTGGCTGATTAATTTAGCATGATTTAATTTAAATTCTTGCAGTTTTCTCGGTTATTGTTGATTAGATCAAATGATAATTCTTTTTAGAGTTTTAGGTTTTTGATTACTGGTTTTTGCTTGGATACAGATTGTAATCTGAATATGGATTTGGTGGCTAGTTGCAAGGTATTTTCATCTTTTTCTTTTTCTTAAAATAATTTAGTGTGTAATTGTGTCGGAGTTAACTAATGAATTGAATCTATGGATATTTTTTTTTGATATTTCGTGTGTAATTGTGTAGGAGTTAACTAATGAATAATGTTCGAGAACTGCGCTTTTTATATTTTATATTTTTTGTTCTTTATCAAATTCAATCAACTAGTTTTTTTTTTCTTTTATTTTTGCAATGTAATTGTTGGATGCTTGTTAATCTATCATGGAAGGGGTATCGACTACTGAACTTAGTTTGATAGTGAAGATTTCCTCTTGTTCAGACGTATGCTAGACCTGAAGTGGCTTTGTGACTCAATTAGTTTTAAGTTTGTGAGTGAATTCATTATGGATGTTTTGTTGGTTCCAGTTATTTTATACGGTGAATTTGCATTTGCTGTGGACAATGGCTTCTCTAACTTTATTTTACACCGCCACTTAACTTTTGGCTTTTTTATACTTATCATTTATCATTTTGTTAATCAGAGTATAAGACCAAACTCAAAAGCCGAAAGTTAGTAGTTATATGTGTGTGTGTGTGTTTCAGTTAGTTCCTACTATGTTATGTTTGATTCTAACACGTTGCACTGTTTTTGTTTTTCCCGAAAAGAAATTGTTCATGGAGAGCTAATTTCTATTTAATATTCCTATTGTAGGATAAGTTGCCATATTTTCGAATAAAAGAACTTAAGGATGTTCTCATTCAATTGGGGCTTTCGAAACAGGGGAAGAAGCAGGTTAGTGGAATGTTTAGATTATCAACTGTATTTTAATTCTCTTGTTTGAAATGTCTCTGTGGAGTCTTGTTCTTATTTCTCTCTGTTCATTGTTTGTGGTGTTTTTCCCTCTCGTTTTCTTTTAATTTCTCTTTATGTGGCTACTAATTATTATAAAGTTTAATGCTGTTCGATGAGATCACACTATTTTTTACCAAAAAAGGGTAGGTGCTTTTTTATTTCTCATTTTTTGTTTATGCATGTACTTTTGAGTGTGCAGAGGTGAATCATGGATTTCACTTGCCCGTTTGTGAGGTCATTGGGATTGCAGTGTGTTGCTTCTAAATTTGTTAAACTATTTACTGGTGGATTTAGCAACTCAAGAGCCTTAAAAATTTTGGGGACAATGATTATTGTTTTTATGTCAATTATCTGCATTTTTATTATAATTTGCACCTTAATGGTATAGGATTATGTTTGACCGCTATGTAAATCTCACTTGTAGGACCTTGTTGAGAGGATATTAAGTGCTCTCTCTGATGAACAAGGTAAATATTCTTTTCATAGCCTTTCATTTTGCTTGAATGGGAAACTTGTAGCATTCACAGTGGCACGGTCATTTATGGATTATATTATCTTTGAATGTTTCTTTCTGGTATTACTTATGCAATCCTGTGACATAGGTTGTCAGAATGCTAGTATTTAGCCATTGATATGCTTGTGTCTTTAACTCAATCACACTCAATATTAATGCATATTGTTTTTGGCTTTAGTTCTCAGTAGGACCTTGTATCACTTGGTGTTTTTGTGTGTGCGTGTGTACCGGGGAAGGTAATTATGGAACTGGTTTTCTGCCCTTTTATGCTCTAGTTTCTCAGGATCAATGAGATTGTAACATTTGACCTTTTGATCTGCTCATTTCATTACAATCTGTTGAATTTCCCATGGTTCTCTGTAAATTTTGTTTTCTTATGAGTACATCATTTTGGGGAAGGTTGCAGACGAGTATGCTATTCAGTTGAAATTTCCTATTCCTAAAACCTCTAATTTTAGTTTTTGTAATAATGCTGAGTATACTTTCTGATTTCCAGTTGCTAAGATGTGGGCAAAGAGGACTCCTGTGGGGAAGGAGGATGTAGCAAAACTTGTTGATGATATATATAGGTGTGTGTTTAAATTTATGATATATTTCTATTGAAGATTTAGATGGAAACTTTTATAATGGGATCAGTTCAGGATTTTTTTGAACCATAAAGGTTTGTGTTTACATTTATGGTTCATATATTGAGGATTTGAATGGAGACATTTATAACGGACTTGGTTATTTTTCTTCCTTTCCTTTTGTGAACAAGGATTGACCTACTATTTTGATAAGATGATTCTGGCCAACTGGATCCAGTATATATGATCATTATATGCTTTGAATTTCTTTATTTTCTCTCACTAAAGTGTATTTCTTGTCCTCAGGAAGATGCCAGTTTCTGCCGCCACTGAATTGGCATCCAAGGGGCAGGGTATGTCAGACAGCAGTACTATTAAAATTAAAGGAGAAGTGGATGACTCCTTCCAAACTGATATTAAAGTTCGTTGTCCTTGTGGAAGCTCGTTGGAGACTGACAACATTATTAGGGTAATGAGCTTATTAATGTTCTGACCACAATGTGCTTTTTATGTCAAGTGATATGGATATGACAACAGTGTTTGGAATGTTCGTTGTCCAACTATCCAAGATACATTCTCTGCCTTATCAAATGGGGATTTCTGTTTGCTTGATTCAAAATAATTACTTAATTTTTGCTCTTTCATTGCTATATTGACAGTGTGAGGATCCAAGATGCCAAGTGTGGCAACATTTTGGTTGTGTTATAATTCCAGAGAAGCCTATGGAAGGAAATCCGGCAGTTCCTGATTTCTTTTATTGTGAGATTTGTCGACTGAGCCGAGCTGATCCGTATGTCTCTCCTCTGCCTGCGTGACTGTTTGCATTTGTGCACATCCAAAATGCGTGATTTCTTCAAAATTGTTGGTCAAATTTTTACTGATTGCAGTTTGGTCATTGGCTGAAGTTCAGTGTCATGATATTGGAATATGTCAGTTGATTCTTATATTTCGCATCTAATTGAATGTGTTCTATCTTTATATATGTTAACATAGGAGATGTTCACTTTAGTTTGGTTGGGTAAAGAATAATTATTGGTTGAATCTCCTTGATAGTTGGAATATACATTTTAAATATAAACTTTTGTGCCTTCCACAATCAAGGCAGAAGAAAGGAAAAAATGGTAAGTGAGAAAACGTCGGAACTAGTTTTTCTTAATGTATGTAAAATCGGTTTTGTATGGGCATGCAACTAGTTATGCCTGCACATTTTGCCTTAGTGCTCGACATCAAAAGTACCTCAGACAACTTACAAAAAACTGTTGTTTTTTATCTGTGAATCTATATTGATGTTCAAAAAGTTAATACTGAATTACCTTTGATACTGAAGAAACATGATATTTCCTGAGCACTTAGTGCTTGCTGCACCATATATTTGTTTTTCCATCTAGTATTTGAATTGTATACACTTGTATCTATCTTCATCTGGATGCATCAAGATTATCCTTTTCCTAGGCATGTCATTAGTGAGTTATGAAATATTGTTTAATCTGTTTGACCTTAATTTTATGTTACATTCTTTTAATTTATGATGTGGTTCTGCATATGCAGTTTTTGGCTTACCATTGCACATCCTTTATTTCCAGTGAAGTTGGCTGTTACAAATGTCCCTACTGATGGGTGAGTGCACTATATGAGAAATGTTAATGTCCCCACCTCCAAACACATACATAAACACAGACAAAGTGAACTTTGAGGTTGTGTAGGGTGTGAATATCATCATATTCATTCTTTCTGTAATTCTTTGTGACCTTGCTAATATTACTTTGTTTGTTTAGTGATTCATATCCTACATTTTGCAGTACAAATCCAATGCAAAGTGTGGAAAAAACATTTCAAATCACTAGAGCAGACAAGGACTTGCTGACAAAACAAGAGTATGATGTCCAGGTTGGCTAGTATAGAAGTGTACAGTTTGGTATATAGTTTTTTGTTCCTTATCATGATACTTTTGTATTTTTCATCTTGTCAATCAGGCATGGTGCATGCTTCTAAATGACAAAGTCCCATTCAGGATGCAGTGGCCTCAATATGCCAATTTGCAGGTTAATGGTATGATTATTAATATTTTTCTTCTACTGCTTTGCTGTTTATAGCTCCTTTACGGCTTAATTGCTTTGCTACTGTTTATTGAGAAGAATACTTGGATCTAGCCAAAAGAAAAAAAGAAAGAAAAAACAGAAAGAGGCAGGTTTGCGTTGGATTTCCCTTAATTACAACCTTGTTCTCCGTCTTGACATCAAAATATTTTTTATGCACTTTTTTATTTCAATTTTGATCAGTAACTGTATTTTTTAAACAGGTGTTCCTGTTCGTGCTATTAATAGACCTGTCTCCCAATTGCTGGGGGCTAATGGCCGTGATGATGGACCAATTGTGAGTTTTGTTCTTCTATAAGGGGGTTTTCTTCTTTCTTTTCTCTGCTTTCCCTTATCCTCAATTTATACATAATCATGGCTCCTTAGATTTTACCTTCACATGTGCGTCCATGTGATTGGAATGGATGTGGAAGCCGGCAGGCAGATTATTGCATGTGCATTATGGAACCTGTTAATTCTTGTTGGCTATGCAAGAAACGTCCATGGGCTGAACTCTCATCGCTTGTTTGTTGTGTATTCTATGATCAGATAACTCCATGTACTAAAGATGGGATTAATAAGATAACTTTGACTGGATGCGATGCTCGTGTATTCTGTTTTGGAGTTAGAATCGTTAAACGACGATCTGTTCAACAGGTATTTAAAAAATTCAAATCTGGATTGTTCATTCTCTGGAACTACAAGATTGATGTCTGATGAATATTTGTAGTAAAAATTTATATATCCTCCTTCAAACCAAAGAGCTTTGGATATAATGTTTTTATCAATGCTTGCTAGTTCTTTGATTGATTTTGGCAGTGTTGATTAGTTTATTAGCAAAGCAAAATAGAATGTTAATGTATTTAGTGCCGTCATAATTGACCATGTTATTTTCATACTACTGCATTCAATATATATCTCATGCTTCTCACCCAAATCACTACAAATTAGATATTTGACCGTCTAATAGTTATTTTCCTTGCATTTTGGGTGAGGTGCCTGTGTCAGCATTACATTGAAATGGGTATGAGATCCAAGTAAAATCAGACTGGGATTAAATCAGTGCCCTGAACAAAGCATTTTTGTCCTTTTTCCTCTAATGGAAATCTTGATACTGTATAATGGACAAGAACAGTTCACTGTCAATGGAGGAAACTGAGAGAAAAAGATGAACGGTGCTTTGTCATGGCTGTAGTCTTAAAGATTAAGGAAGAGGCTGGAGCTGGAAAAGATTGAAAGATTATAGTAGATAATTTATATAGAAATAAAGAAGATAAGGGGGAAACATATAAGATCAAATTTTGGGTATTCATATTTTATTGTTTGGTTCTAAACTTTGTCATGGAAAGGGCTACCTTAACATTATCAACATGGCCAGCTTTGTTTCATTCTGGCTCGTTTTTTCTGAATAATATCGTCTTGGAAAGGGCTACCTTAACATTATCAATATGGTCTGGCAATGAAGTTTACATGCTTTTATGATAACATTAGATTTTAGCTTGGGAGAATTGATTTTGACCTTCTGACAGCAATATTAAGCTCCTTTGTTTTTAGTTGCATGGATTATCTTAATACTATAATTTAAACTGTGAACCTGTACATGGGAATGCAACTGAAATTTGCTCTCTTATTATATCACTGGCCTAGATACTCAACATGATTCCCAAGGAGAATGATGGTGAACATCTGGAAGACGCTCTTTCTCGTGTTCGTCGTTGTGTTGGTAGTGGAACTGCAACAGATAATGGTGATAGCGACAGTGACCTAGAAATTGTTGCAGATTTTTTTGGAGTCAACCTACGGTGCCCTGTGAGTTGCATAGTTTTATAAAATGCTAGCAATTTCTTGCCTATGTTTTTGCAGATTTGCACGATTTATGCTAGAGATATTACATGTAATTTATCTTGTGAAGCATGTCTAGGATGGATGGTTATTGTGGCTTGCAAAATTGTTAGTTCCGGTTCTTGATGTATTGCTTGTCAGCATAGTTGCTGTAAACTGTCAAATAACATAGGAATCTTGCTTTGTTGTGCGTGTATTTGGGTTTGTAGTACTAATGTTGGTCGAGGCTATAATGCATGGTCACTAAGATGTACTTATTTATAAAAAGGTTCTGCATGCTATATCGAAGAGCTTATGCATGCTCATTAATGAGTGAAAGCTGGAATGGAGGTCAAATTGTGACACCTCTGGCTTAACCTGTTGAACTTATTGTTCGTATTACAAAATCAATTTAAGATTGAATGTATGCTTTTGATATTAAATAAATATCAAGTATAAGTTATTAGTTGATAAATCTTGTATTTGTCTTAATATATGATTAGTTATAAATCTAAATCTCATCACTTACAAAAAAAATAGTACTAGTAATAATAATAAAATTCACAAAAAATATTTTGACTGGTTTTATATGTTTATGTTTATTTTTTACTGGTCCAATTAATCTGAAATTCTTTTTTTAACAATTCTTTTGCTCAATTATCATGTTTTTTTGCTTTAAATCTCTTGTATCTGTAGAATAAGCAATTCATTCCAAGTTATTTTAAGAAGTGATGATTTTCCCACCTTTCCTCCCCTACAAATGTTCAGTGCCAATGGATTTGAATGGACTACTTTACTGTGTTTTCCTTTTGCAGTTGCCCTAGTTGTTTGTGATATTCATTTTTTGTGCTTTTCTGTGACAGATGAGTGGCTCCAGAATGAAGGTGGCTGGAAGGTTTAAGCCCTGTGTTCACATGGGTTGTTTTGATCTTGAAGTTTTTGTGGAGCTTAACCAACGTTCTAGGAAGGCAAGCAACAATATTAACATGTTTGTTATCATTTCTAATTCTTTCAGGCTTTTGACAAGCATTTGTATGATTGCAGTGGCAGTGCCCAGTTTGCCTGAAGAACTACTCATTGGAGAATGTTATAATCGATCCTTATTTTAATCGCATCACATCCAAGGTGTGTACCCTCCTGTTTATATTTATCTTCATGATGTCAATGAGTGGGATAATGATGATCAAACTGTTGTACAGATGAGAAATTGTGGAGAAGATATTACAGAGATTGAGGTCAAGCCTGATGGTACTTGGCGTGCAAAGGCTAAAAGTGAAAATGAACGTAGGGAACTTGGTGATCTTGCACAGTGGCACTCTCCTGATGGTGCCCTATGTGAATCTGGCTGTGTGGAGGATAAGTCAAAGGCTGAAACTTTGAAGCAGATCAAACTTGAAGGTTGTTCAGAAGGGCATGCAGGTTTGAAACTCGGAATCTGGAAGAATCACAATGGGTACTGGCATGTTAACCCTGAAGACGTAATCACCCCATCTGCTAGTAGATTACATGAAAGGCCTGAACATCATGAGCAGAAACTTATCCCAATGAGTAGCAGTGCTGCTGGAAGTGGCAAGGATAGTGAGGATCCCAGTGTAAATCAGGATGCTGCTGGAACTTATGACTTTACAAGCAATGGAGTTGAATTTGATTCTGTGCCTCTGAACATTGATCCAAGATATGAATTTGCTGACCAAAACCAATCTGCACCAGCAGGAAATGCAGATGTTATTGTTCTTAGTGATTCAGATGAAGAAAATGAAATATTGATATCTCCTCCAAATGCTTATCAAAACGACGCTGGTGGACTTAGTTTTCCAGTTGCACCTCCTGAAATTTCTCAACCATATTCAGAAGATCCATCTCTCGGGCCTGCTGGTAATTTGGGTCTTTTTACTCCCAATGATGAATTTGACATGCATCTTTGGTCATTACCTCCGGGAAATCAAGATGGCTCAGGGTTTCAACTATTTAGTACAGATACGGATGTCTCAGACACCTTAGTTGATCTGCAGCGTAATTCTCTCAATTTCCCTTCAACATTGAATGGTTACACATTGGCTCCCGAGACAACAATGGGATCTCCACCCCTAGTCCCTGGTTCTTCCATTGGTCAGACTGATACAAATATACATGATGGCTTGGTGGAAAATGCCTTCTTTGGTGGAGAAGATCCCTCGCTTCAGATATTTCTTCCAACATGTCCAGGTGCATCAGCACAGTCTGATGTGAGAGATGAAGCTGATGTATCGAACGGCATCCGTACTGATGACTGGATCTCACTTAGGCTTGGAGGTGGGGCAACTGGCGGCCATGGGGACTCAACAACAACTAATGGATTGAATTCAAGGAAGCAGATACCTTCCAAAGAGTGTGCTGTGGACACTGGTTAGTTTACTTGCTGCTTTCGAAAAAACTATATTTTGTAAGCTCTTGTTTAAAATTTTTCTAATCTATGCCAAGAAAATAGATTATATACACTCGTAGATGCCATTTACATGCCTCATAACTCACTGCTTTAGCATTTCCTACCTCTACTCTCTCTTTTCTTATCAAGTTTCAAGCATTTGCTTCTGCAGGTTCTCTGTTGCTTGGTATGTACGACAATAGACATGGGAAGTCAGGTAGGCAAATATCAGAGAGCCCTTTCTCATTTCCTCGGCAAAAAAGGTCGGTTCGACCGAGATTGTATCTTTCTATTGGCTCAGACACCGAGTAATTGCATTTGCTTAAATTTATGGATAAATCTGGTGATCTCGTATGGCCATTTAAGATGAAGCTTGAAAGTAATTTTTTTTTAAGAAAGAAAACACCACCATTGGAGAAGAAAAAAAGGGAAGCCAGGGGAAATGTGTTAACAACTTTACCAAGATCAGGACCGAGCTTGTGGCCTTGATACCTACAAGTGTTGAAAGCTCAGCTTATAATTCTAGTTGTAGGCGTTACAGGCAAGCTGGTGTTTTACCCTAGGGCTAAAACACAGATGAGAAGGTCGTTTTGATTTTGATTAAAACTGTACAGTTAAATTGGAATTGGGGAGAAATAACCCATCCTGAAGTGAACACAAAAGAATCCGACCCATTTTGCCTTTTTTGGTTGGGTTTGTAAATTCACTCGAATTCATAGAGAAACACCTTTTTATTTTATTTTGGTTCATTTTATTGCTTTTGCTGGTCCAGCATTAACTGTAGGTTCATTAGCACCAGAACCTGCCTCTTCGGATCACTATTTGATTGCATTTCATAAACTTTTTTCCTTTAACTAAAACTACATTATGAAAATAACAATCTCACAGATTTTCAAATAGTGATTTGAGAAAGTTCAGAGAGAAACAGCAGATAAACATAGATATTGAGGTGAAAGTCGGAAAGACTGACGAGCTCTAACTTTGAGAGCTTATTCAACAGGCTTTGCAGCTTAATGTAATTAATTATTTATATTAATATTATAACAAATTAAATTGTTATTTTTGAAAGAAATTATAATTATGCACAATACACCAAAATAGCAATTATCAGTCACAATTCAACCGAAAGTTAGAATATATTTCCTAAAAAATAATACAATAATAATTAAAGTGAAAGATAATCAAATATTTTTATGTTCAATAGATTAAGTATTGAAATAATATCACTTATTTAAATTTTTTTATTTTTCTAATATATATATATATATATATATATATGCTAAACAAATGAAATTACTTTATCGGTTAAATGAATTGTTATCTTAAATTCAATCATTATAAAATAATTGAAAATATTTAGAATATATATTACTTTATAACCATCTTAACTTAATAATATATATAGGGTAAATTATAAAATAGTCCCTGAACTTTTAGGACGCTTACATTTTGATCATCCAACTTTTAAAACTTACAATACAATCATCAAACTTTTAGTTCGTTTGTAATACAATCCCTGCCGTTACTGCTCGTTATTTCCGTTAGCAGAGAATGATGTGGCACGTTAGTATCCCGTTTTCAGCTATAAAAAATAAAATTCTCAAACGACGTCAGATTACAATTGGGAAATGTTAAATGGGTTTTAAAATCCATTTAATCACCCGAACCGCCGCTAATCGCCTCCTTCACCTGGGGATGGGCATGGGTCGGATCAGATTTTTAGTCCATCCGACTCGACCTGAGAACAATAACTTCTCCACTCGAAATCCGATCCGACCTGAAATTTTGAAATAAAATCTGAAGTCGACCCGACCGAAATAATAAAAAAAATATTTTTATTCAATAAAAATAATGATTTAATTGAAAAAATAATATATATAGGGTACTATTGTAATTATTCCTAAATATATAAGGTACAATTATTATTTTTCGAGTCGGGTCAAGTATATTTTCATCTTAAATCCGAATCCGACCCGACTCAAACCTAATTTTTTTTAAAAAAAACCGTCCCTAGACGCCGTCAATCGCCTCCCGCAACTCCTCTCCGAACAACGTGCACTTTCTATTCACACCACTGCCCCTTCTCTTTCCCCCTCCGCCACCAATCACATACGCCCGCCCTTCTCCGGCGTCGACCTCCGGACATCCCACCGGACTCTCCAAGCCGGCCGAATTCGTGATCTCCAAGGTCTTTGAACTCTTGAACTGGGCCTGTCGTGGGTCAATCTGGACCGTGACCTTCGGCCTTGCTCGTTGCGCCGTGGAAATGATGCACACCGGACATCCCATATTTCTTGTCATCTTCTATCTTATTTGCTCCAATTTCATTCTTTTATTTGTTTTTCTTCATTTTGTTTCTCTGTAACATTTTCTGTTTTCCCCCCCTCCAAATTTACATCCACTTGTTGCAAAATATAATATACCCATTTCATTTCATCTCTGTCTTTGGGGTTTTTTTTTCCCAAGAGATTGAAAAATGAATTATGGTGGAAGGAAAGCTTCAAGATGCTCCACATTATGATTTTGTTTTTCTTTTTATGCTCAATGGTTGGAGTGATCATAGTCTCACATAATGCAAGCTTTAGACTCTCCAGCGATCTTGCATCTCACATTTCTTCATTTCACGCATTGTCTGCTCAATGTTTAACTATGAAATTTGGTGAGTCTTTTTCTTCTTCTTTCATAATATTGTCTCCCTTAACCTCTTCCTCTTTTTTTGGGCTATGAAGTAATTACCGAAATATAAAGTTTTTGGCTGTTTTATCATTCAATAGATCAGTTGTACCCATCTACTTTTTTTCTCTGCTTATGGTTCTCTATATTAGCCTTTTGTTTTGTTTTGTTTTATGTGAGTTCTGAAATTTCCTTCAATCTGATGTATTATTTCCTTCAATTTGTGAAAAATGTGTAATGAGAGTTTCCAATGAGCAGCATTTGGGGTCCAAGGGCCCTTGTTTGCTTCAATTCTTCCGTTTGTTTCCTGAGAAAATTGCAAAAGACAGAGAAAGACGAGAGTTATGGAGTTTGTGGTTTTAAGCCATCTTCTGTTCACGTTCCTATTCCGATCTCTGTAATTTGATTGTAACTAAAAGTTTTTGAAAATCGATTGGTTATGATTCTATTTTGTTAAATTTGTATGCTGTTATTTATCTTGTGAAGAAAAAAAAGAAGGGTTGACTGCCACATCAGCAAAAAGGGTTAACGGAGGGTTAATTTCCACAACAAAAATTAACTGAAGTAACGGTAGAAATGAAAATGAACTAAAAGTTTGATGATTTGTGCATGTTTCAAAAGTTAGGTGATAAAAATATAATCTCCCTAAAATTAGAGGACTATTTTTATAGTTTACCCTAATATATATATATATATATATATATATGACTATTTTTGTAGTTTACCCTAATATATATATATATATATATAGGCTAAGTTCTATTCGGCTTAATGCTCGATGCTTCCCGAGCAACCTGTAAAACAACCCTGATCATTAGTCTTATTACGCTTTTACCCTCTGCAATTAGCTCATCCTCCATTTGGCTCTATTCTTTCTCCGCATAAGTTCTATTCTCTTTTGGCTCTTTATCTCCTACCTAGCAAAATTCTACAAGAGAAGAAAAAAAATAATCAGCTGTTCTCAAAGTATCAAACGATGGCAAGAGGTTTCTCGCAGTCGCAGTCCTCCACTTCCTCCTCCACATCTCGTCCGGGCACCATGGCTCCTCGCGGCTCCGCTGCCGCCGCAGCCGGTATGCGTCGCCGCAGGCTTGTCGGAGACTCCTCCTCTACTTCCGCCTCGGGATCAGTTGGATCCGGTTCCGGAAGCAACATGCTCCGATTTTACACCGATGATGCTCCAGGCTTGAAGATCTCTCCTACCGTCGTGCTCGTCATGAGCCTGTGCTTTATAGGCTTCGTCACGGCTCTCCACGTCTTCGGCAAGCTGTATCGCGCCAAAGCCGGAGCTTGACCGTGAGTTCCTATTCGAACCCGATCCACTTTTTTTGGATCTCTGATCGGTTCCTTCCCTTTTCTCTTGTTTTTTGTTGTTGTCTGTTTTGTTTGTTTGTTTTGGATTTAGCTCTGTAAATGGTGATGGCAAGCTCGTAATCATTTAGTCTTTTGAATCTGTGAACTTTTAAATTGCGGTTCTTGTTAGTATTTCGATAAAATGAATATGCTGCTTCTTTGAACTTCTTTGGTCCTCCCATCGTGTTGCTAGATTTAATCGGTGAGGGACATCTTAACGGTGGTTGTAGTTTCGAAGAAGCGCCGTACACGGCTATTAAGGATAAATTACACTAGGGGACCTAGTTATTAGCCGAATTCTAAATTACTCCCAAAATTTCAAAGTTCAGAATGTTTTAATTGTTTACTCAAAATATCCTTTCAATTAGCTTATCCTTTCCATTTAGCTCAACGGAATAATTGATACATCTAAGGATTTGATTAAAAGATTTTTTGAATTTGAAAATTAGTCATAGCTAAGAGTTTTGGTGTAATTAATCCATTAATAAGGTTAGTTAATAAATTAATAAGATGAGTTATTTTCACAAAAATTAATAGGTAGAATTAATTATTAAATTTTATTAAAATGATAAGATTTATAAAGTAAACAAAAGTTTATGCATAATTTACTCCTCCAGAATTGCCAATAAAGTGATTTGCTAATAGGACATGTTATTGGAGAAAATGAACTCAAATATTCACTACTCAGCATGCTTGATCACAAGTACAATACATAGTACATAAACTACCGATTAGATTTGCACAGCACCGGCAACTAATTCCGTTGCCCTTTATCTAAATATCTCTGTACATAATCTGAAATTTGAGGTTCCCGATTATGAAAATCAAGGCCTTTTTTCTCTACAAGTGTTCATGCATATATGTGGGAAGGCCGGATACTATTATGGTCATGGAATTCGATAACGGAATCCGTCGGGTCTTGGAAGTTGATATAATTTCTGGGAAACATTTTGATTGGTGGGAAATTCTCATTCCTTTTCTCGTAGTCTTCTTTGCCAAATGAGATGAAGTTGTTGCTGCCCTGGAATGTGGCCGTCGGGTTCGCCTCGATAGGAGGTAAACCTTGTCCGGAAAGTATCAAGGCCAGTACTTGGCAATCTTGGTTCAGACAATCTGACATCATGTCGCCACCATCGTGTGCGAATTCCGGTTGCATAGACCTCGTAAACTTTGTGTCGGTGCCATCTTGGACTTTGGATGTGTTCTTCGATATGTTACTTTTTCTCCGAACCCGACACAGCACCCAATCATCCAGCTGCGGAAACAAGACCTTGAGTGAGTGGGTGAGCCTTTGCAAGATTAGCTTACATGAAATAAGCGTGTGATAACTGGTTATGTTGATAATTTTAGGGTAAAATATAACCTAGGTGTCTCGATTTTATTGATTAAAGTCTCGATCATTAATTTGGTTACAAACGGGTTATTTATTGTCCCCCCTAAAAGTTAATAAAATATTGCTATAAAATTTCATTTCATTATTAAAATTGAAACAAGTAGTATTTAATATGATTTGGTATAATAATAGTTTGAGATCTCAAAATTTATATATCATCTCAATTTGATCTTAATTAGATATAATTTAATATACATAACTCTTAAATTTTTTTATCAATTTAATCATTTTTTAAATATCGACAAACTAAGTCTGCAACAGTTGGGATAATTGTATTTCGTCATAAGCGACAATAAGTTATTGTTAAGCTATTATATAAAAAAATACTTATATATATTTTGGTGATACGTGCTTATATATATTTTGAAATACTGGTTTTATGTACTATTTTATTTTCATCAAATATATATATATATATATATATATATATATATATATATATATATATATATATAGAAGAACAAGTCATTTAGGAGAAGAACAATAAGTATTAAATTTATTAAATTATTTAGAATTAAGACCAAATTGATAAAAATATATAAATTTTGAAACTTATTTAGAACAATATTTTAATGGGTAAAGTATACAAATGGTCTCATGATTATAAGATATTATTTTATTAAGTCACTCGACTACCAAAAGTTACAAAATAGTATTTTGATTATAGAGTGTTACTTTGTTGAGTCCCTTGACTATTAAAAGTTATAAAATGACCACTGACTATTCATTATTTTTTTAATTCGTCATTTTTCGTTAAAAAATGACGTTTGTTTAAGCTGAACGTTAACATGATGACTGTGAAATGATAGTCGTTTGAGACTCTGGGATCATATTTTATCATATCAAAATTAACAGATTAATGTTCAGCTCAGAATATTGTCTATTTTTAATGAAAAAGGATGAGTTTGGAACATGATGAATAGTCAAGGAACTCAATAAAACAATATCTTATAGTCAGGGGACTATTTGTGCACTTTACCCTATTTTAATTAAGTGATTAAATTATAGTATTTTTTTGGAATGAACAAAAGTGATATTTATAACCGAACTAAGAATTGCCTGAGCAGACTATATATTTATCCATGATTTGATGGACTTACTCTCATGGAGCCTCTGAATCTGGGGGGCTTAACCATTGTATCCAACAATCTATACTCGTTCATGGTCCACTCCGTCTTGACACCGCTCGGTTCGGTCTTTCTCCGTTGGGATACTTCCTGTCTCGAGGACTGAAGAAAAACCACTCATTCTCTCCGAACAAAGCTCTCACTGCAAAAAAAAAAAAAAAACCCAGATTGTTGTACGGAATATATATATATATATATATATATATATATATATATATATATATATATATATATATATATATAGGATTAATGAGAAATGATGACTGACTTGGTAGCTCCCATGGGTTATATTTATAGAGATCTATTTCTGCAATTACGGAAGCAGGGAGTGGACGTGAAGCCACTTTGTTTTGCAAGTAATGAATGATGAGTTCTTCATCCGATGGATGAAACCTAAAACCGGGAGGAAAACGAAGATCCGTGTTTGGTTGCTTCTCCATTCTTATTCCTATGCTGAAGAGAAGAGAAGAGAAGAGAAGAGAAGAGAAGAGAAGAGAAGGGGAATGAGTAGAGCAGCGTTTCGAGGTTTATATACACAATCCCCAACGTAGTATGGATGGGGACATAAACTACTTCTTTGGCTTTACCTTGTCCCCCGGCTACGTAGGATCGGGTATAAATGAGGAACCCATAAATATTTTTTAGCGAAAAGCATAAGAGGTTTTTATATTTTTCTAGAAAAAAATATATAAATTTCGTATTATTTTCTCTTTAATGTGATTCTTCAATTCAAAAACAAAAACAAACATAAAGTGATATTTTAATCAACGATTTTTCTTGTTTTACTGTTATAATACTGATGTAATAATTCGCGGTGTTGACGTGACGTTTCACGGTACTAAAGTGATAGTCTATATGTTATGTTTGAGTTACCAATTTAATTCGTCTGCTATGTTGTCCGTCACATTATCAACCTCTGTGGATTGTAATGTTAGCACTATGAATCACCATATCAGCATCATAAACTGTCACATTAGCATAACGGTCAAACACCGAAAAACGTTGGTTAAAGGGTCACATTGGGTTTATTTTCTGAGTTGGAGGGTCACTTTGAGAGAAAAATAATACGATGATTTTTTTAAAAGTACAGAGACCTCTGATGCATTTTTGTCAATATTTTTAAGGTGAATATATATATATATATATATATTAATAATATAAAATTTTAACCAATAAAATGAATAACTAATAAAAATAAATTTAAATTTCAAGTAAACATTTACCCTCCATTATTACCATATAAATTTGCTAGTGTGGAGTCGGAATCCAAATCGAATACTAGAATATAATTATGAATATAGGACGTACTTTCTTCATACGTTTATAATGTCATAGTTCTATTCAAATGTGTATGGATATACGTAAATAATTAAGGAAAATTAGTGAACAAATTCACAAGAATTTCGGAAGCAACGTTTTCTTTTGTTTGCCTTGATGATATAATGTGAGGACAATGTCCACTTGCATTTTTTTTGATGGAATTGTATTTTAATGATAATTTTGGTTATTAAATAATCAATAGATTTATTTATAAATTGATAATTAGAATTTATTTGAATTGTTGTAAAATAGTTACTTATAAATTTTTTATAGCTATTGCAGTGATCATCGATTCGATAAATTTAATGATTATCTTATAATTTTTAAAAAATTAATAATTAAAATGACCGTTTAGTTATTGTATATTTTAAACTAATAAGGGTGCTCCATAGTATTTGTGTCTTTTTCTTTGAATATACGAGTAAATAGACATGTTTGTTCATTTAAAATGGTGGCCAAAACATGAACACGGCATAATTTGAAATGTCCCCATCTAGTCGATGATGCTTAGGCTTATTACTTTGTTAATGGAGATTTATATATATTATTTTTAACTAAATTTAACCTTGTTTGACTTCGTTTAATTTATGATGCGAATCCTAGGTACATATGTCTTATTAGGTTTCGCATTTTGCTTCATTTGTGGTAGAGAAGTGCAATCGGATTAATTGATCGGTTCGGTAAAAAATTTGGGTAAACTATACAAATGGTCTCTCATCTATAGTGTATTATTTTATTAAGTTCTTCGATTATGAAAAGTTATAAAATGGTCATTTGACTATAAAAAGTTACTTTATTAAATTGTCACTCGACTATTTATAATGTTCTGAACTCGTTTTTTTGGTTAAAAATTGACAGTTGTCTAAGCAACACGTTAACATGATGTCTGGGATACGATAGTCGTTTGGGATTCTATGATCAAATTTTATCATATCAGAGTCAGTATATTAACGTTCAGCTCATCAATTTTTAACATAAAAGAACGAGTTTGGAATAGAATGAATAGTCAGGTGACTATTTTGTAACTTTTAATAGTCGAGGGACTCAACAAAATAACACTATATAGTCAGAAGATCATTTTGTAACTTTTAATAGTCGATGGACTTGATAATCGGGGGATCATTTGCGTACTTTACCCTAAAATTTTATAATGTTTTTTATTTAATGTCTTATAAAAAGTCATGGATAATTTGTTGGGATTTGAATTTATAATCAAACTATAATTTCAAGTTGGTTGACAACAAACTTTAATCGAGTAATTTACATGTGAATTTATACTAAGAAGTGTATGGAAAGAGTATTGAAGATAATCGCATCCTAAAAG